AATAGAAAGAGCAAACAGACTATAATAAAAGAGAGACAATTTTTATTCTAATGTAATCCTTCTAAAAGTTTTTTAAAGAAAATACGAAAGAAATTTTTTTAATTCACTATTTTACAGTAAAATTATAAATTATTATTATATTTATTATTAATAAAAATATGCTATATTATGCCAACATCATTGAAATTTATTTTTAAAAAAAATTTCTATTTACCCAAATTTTTATATACGGCAGACTTTTCTAATTTGCTATAAAATACTCTACTTAGGGAAAAACTTATCAGGGCCTTGTCAATTTTGTTTCTAATTGCCCCATTTTGTGAGATTATTTAATAAAATAACTACATTAGTTTAAAAATTTTACATCTATAAATAATCCTTTTTAAATAATTTATTAAATGAATCATAAAATAATTTTTGTCAAATTGAGCCTTCCAATTCTATAAGTCGCCCGACGCACGGACGGACACTCTATTGGTAGTCGGGTAACAGTAAGCGTCAATGGCTTACTCGCTGCTACCCGCCTACCAATTCGCTGCGGACACGGAAACACGGTGGCGCCTCTAGTGTGGCAATATGTGACGCAATTTTCGTTGGATACTTGTCAAATGTTTACATTAGAAAAAAGTGACATTTAAGGCCAGGTCCAAGTGAGGCAGCGCCATCTACATTGAAACTAAAATTTTGGAAAATTTTCAACAGCCTTTTCTTGAAAACAAGAAGTTAAAATGCTTTTTCCTTTATGGATAATTGATTATTGGCAAGATATACACCAGCTAAAACTTTTTTTAAGTTAAAATAATAAAAAAAAATTTCATGTCAATAAATTAAATATGAGCACTTTTTTCACAAAAACTGTAACAGTACTTTCTCAGAAATTACAATCAAAAATGCAATTTCCATTTGGAAAATTAATAAACGCTAAAAAATACACTACCTAAGATTTACCAATCACGAAAATAACAAAAAAAAGAATTTTAACATAACATATTTTACTCATTATGACAGCCGTTTGGCAGGTTATATATGTCACCAGACGTTTCGCAGTTTTGCCGAAAGGAGGAGATTGGCGCTGTTGCTAACCACCTGAAATACATAATCTACCAAAGGGCTGTCACAATCAATAAAGCAGTATCAATATGTTAAATATTTAATAACATTTTTTTTTGTTATTTTCGTGATTGGTAAATCTTAGGTAGTGTATTTTTTAGCGTTTATTAATTTTCCAAATGGAAATTGCATTTTTGATTGTAATTTCTGAGAAAGTACTGTTACAGTTTTTGTGAAAAAAGTGCTCATATTTAATTTATTGACATGAAATTTTTTTTTATTATTTTAACTTAAAAAAAGTTTTAGCTGGTGTATATCTTGCCAATAATCAATTATCCATAAAGGAAAAAGCATTTTAACTTCTTGTTTTCAAGAAAAGGCTGTTGAAAATTTTCCAAAATTTTAGTTTCAATGTAGATGGCGCTGCCTCACTTGGACCTGGCCTTAATTGTTTCTGGCGATTAAATCTATTTGTGATATACTACGGCTGATATATTTCGTTGATTCAAATAACTATTTATTATTGATCTAAATACACGTTTGGTTTATTTTAATAAATTTTTTTTAAACAATAAAGAATTTGATTAAGCCAAATAAACTTTTTATTGATTGAATAAAAAGTTTGGTTAAGCAATTATTATTATTATTATTTCTGTTATTATCAAAATATAGAATTTTATTTATTTTATATATATTATATTAATGATAATAATTTACTTAAAGAAATCCTTCATGCCTAAATCAATAATTTGGAATTATTAATTAATTTTCTAACTGAATAACTAATGTAATGGATATCCGTAGCAGCAGAGACTATAATTGGAAGGTAAATTACTCGATTTACTGTTTCATCGAAATCATGCCTTTGTCGTGGAACATGTATGTCTGACCAAAGCAATTCGTAACTACTTGGATTCTATCTACTACTGTGAGATTTATACTTCAAACTGGCTTCTGCAACCCGGGTCATGCATGTAAACGACAGTGTACATATATATATATATACTCGAAGCCATGAGTGTACTTGACTATATATCATATACTATTTATGTACAATTCCACGTGAAATTTACGTGTTTTTTTATTTTCTTATAAGTTCCCAAAATTTTTGAGTTATGAATTTTTAAAAATCTGGTTTTTTCGAGTTTTTTTTAAAAAAAAAGTAGTTTGTTTTCTGTAAACAAATAATTTTTTTTTAATTTTAAACTCGATTTTATTATTTTTGTATAACCAGAAAGTACTAAGAAGATTTTGCAAAAAATGCCTAATGATCCATTTTGTTATCGTAAATTTAATGGGTTTTGAGCAACCTCTAAATATTCACGGATTCAAAATAAAAAAAAAAAAATTGGTGAGATGAGAGCAAAACATTTCTGATATATATATATATAAAACAAAAGTTTATAGGTCAATGTGAGATTATGTCAAAAAAAAAAAATTTAATGAAATCTTAAAACATAAACCAAATTTCTTTTCTTTTTTAACCTCTTCTTTCTAAAACTTTTGGCACTACACTCTAAATATAACTTTTTATGATATCTTCTATTAACAAAACTTTTTCTAAGGGGATTTCAAGCATAAATTTATTTCCTTATATGGCTCTTTATATTTCGTTCTCAAAAATTTATATTCCTATTTTCTCATCTTTTCATAACATTTTTAGGGTTTTTCTTTTCACGTCATGCGCCTCTTTGAAATTTTAAATTAAATTCTATTGTTTTTATTGTTGTAAAATAATATTATAAAATATCTTATAAATTATTAAATTCCATAAAGTCAAATAATCATTTTATCGAATTGTCAAAAATTCAAATAATATAAAACCATTATTGATCGAATTTAAAAAAAAATTGGAATTATTAAAAGATCGAATTGTTAAAAGTTACAGAATTGCTAAAAGTTGGAGTTATTGAAAGATCGAATTTTTAAAAGTTTCCCAGATACACGGAAAGAAATTTTCTGTAGAATTTACAGAAACTCCTGCGCCATCTACTGATGTTTCTCCAAATAGAGAAATTTGTATAATCATTGGCATTAAAATCTGTTAATTCTACACACAGAAAAAACCTAGTCTCATTTTTGTTGCAAATCAAAATGAGCCAAAGCTAAACGACATAGACAGTGGCGCCACCAACCTGGTTCATTTTTGTTGCACATCAAAATGAGTCGCCTAGGCGGCTCATTCTGAGTTCAGTTTTTTTCTGTGCAAGTTTGAGCTACAGTTCTTAAAAACTGTTGAGTGACCAAATTATGTATACTATATGGGGATAATATATATTTGGTAGAGTATTTCTTATAGGTTATATTCTCCTCCGAATACATTAAATTCGCGGAACATTATTGTATAAATTAGTATAACTTCTATGTAAATAAATTCATCCTTCAATAATTTTCTAAAAAAAAAAATGAGGAGCAAGTTTTCAAAACTTATGATAAATCCACTTTTTCTTATGTCGAGAAATTGAAACAAACGACTTTTCTCACTTAATCACTACAGTTAATTTTAAAATAAAAAATTTCTAATAATTTATTTCTATAATAATGTTTATATACTTAAGACGTTTCCTTTTTAATTAAACTTTCTTGACGACACTATGATAATAATAAAAACACTAAATTCGCCTTAACCTCTTGCACTCAATCGTACTCAGCCTTAGTCGAATCACTGCATTGTTTTCGCGCATGCGTTAAATCCTTACAGAAAATATCTGTAGAATTAACAGATTTAGGAACATGTAAAATCTCCAAATCGATGTTGAAGAATTGCCAGAAAATTTTTTTCCGTGCACGTTTCATATTTTATACTTAAAAATAATTCACGCGAAGTTTTCATATAACTATATGCTTACAATAGAAATTTTTCTTAATCAAAAAATTGATTTCAATTAATTATTTTAATAATTATTAATTCTATTTCATATTTAGACCAAAACTATTCTTTTTTTTCTATATTGCACGCATTTTTTAAAATTATATTGAAATTCCCTGAAATGTATATCGAGATTATAACCTAATTAATGTTATTTGTAAGTTTCATGCAAATCCGTGAAACTGCGAACCTCCCAATTCTGTAACTCGTTAAGCGCTCGGTCGGACGCTCTATTGGTACACAGAAAAAACCTGAACTCAAAATGATAGCGTATGCTACTCATTTTGATATGCAGCAAAAATGAGTCAGGTTGGTGGAGCCACTGTCTATGTCGTTTAGCATTGACTCATTTTTGCTGCATATCAAAATGAGACTAAGTTTTTTCTGTGTAGTCGGGTAGCAGCGAGGGAGTCATTGACGCTAGCTGCTACCCGACTACTAATCGAGCGTCCGTCCGAGCGCTAAACGAGTTACAGAATTGGGAGGTTCAACTGTAAAATCTTCAGGCGTGGCTAAAAATCAAAAATTCATCAATTTTTCAGTTTTTTAAGCCTAATTTTCATAATTCTTTGGGAATTCTCCCATTTTTACCAACAGAAATTTTTTTTTTTACATTCTTTACCGGAAAAAATAAGGTTTGAACGAAATCGGTAAAGAACTTTTCGAGATATTCAATTTTAGTCGAAAAATGACAATATTTTGAGAAAATATATTCGCGGATTCTTTTTTTATAGGCGTCAATTCTCTGTTGCGAATCTTGATTGTCAATTAATCATTTCAAAGGTTTCTTTTATTAAATTAATATAAAAATTATGAAAAGTTAATTAAAAATAATTTGCCAATAATATAAATATTAAAAATAAACCCATTTTTGCTGCTAGTTATATTGTAGAGAGCACGCATACAAATTTCAAACAATGTATTTTAAATAGAATTTTTTAATAAAATGTATAAAACATGTTAAAAATAAATTTTAAAGACTTTAAAGTTTTATTATCAAAATTTTGTATACAAAAAAATATTCACATCATTAAAATTTTTAAGCTGTTCCATTTTTATATCAATGTTCCAGTAAAAAAAAGTAGTGTTTATTCATTGGTTTCATCAGTTTTTATCTGATGCACTATAATATTGAAAATAACTGTCAGAGCAAAATTTCTAAAGTAATATAACATCAAAAATATATACAGTGAATTATTTAAAAAGTCGTAACTATAAGAATAAATAACGTAACTATAACAATATAAGAATAAAAAAAAATTGCACCTTTATGTTTTCGAAAGTTTTTTTCCTGCCCTTTCGAATGGTGTAAAAAATGTTTCAAAAATTCAAAATTTTTTATAAAGTTTAAAATGTGTACTTTTAAATAAAAATAAAAAAAATATCCTCTATTTGAGATATTAATTAATTAATTAAAAAAAGGTAAAAAAGTTTCCGCTGGCTTCTGTTTCATTTAGTGTTGTTGGTTTGTTTTCTATGATAGGTTTTGTTAATGTTCCATTTAGTTTTTCTGTTTCATTTTTTGTTTCTGCTGTTGTTCCTGGTAATGATACTTCTGTTTCTCTAGGTGTTCTTGGTTTTTCTTGTGTTAAAAAAGTTGATTTTGTTTCATTTTCATCTAGCTTTTTTGATTTATCTTCTGATAAAGTTGCTGCTTTTTTTCCTGTTTCTTCTGGTGTTTTTGTTACATTTTTTCTTTCGAATTTATATAAAATATTCACAATTTTCCAAATTTTATTTAATTTTTTAACAAGAAGAGAATCTACACTTGCCTTTAATTCTTGACGACTTTCAAAATTTCCTTTTCTTGCAACATTACCGATACGATCCGCATGACCTATTATTAAAATCATAAGTTTTTTAATATATATTGCCACTTTTACATTATAATTATTTATATCAATTGATAAACTCTTTCTATCACAAAGCTTTGGCAATATATAAACATATTCTTGACATTGAAGTAAATTTTTTTCCACTTTTTTTAACAAATAATTCAGTTCATCAATATTCACTGAATCTAAGGAATAGCTAAATGTTTTCAGAGCATTATTCACAATAGATGACATATTTAATGTAATTTCTGATATTAAATGAATTTTTTTATTTTCTGGTAAATTACAAATAAGATGATTGCAAAGTCTATCAAGCACTATATTTGTATTATTAATAATTTTTTTGGTGGTGTTGACAATTCTTTCCATGTAATCTTTATGAATCTATTTTGAAAAGAAAAAGAAAATTATTATTATTATAGAAAATATAAAATGAAAAATTTTAATGCAGTAGCTTTTTTTTACTTACAGATAATATTTCACTGGTTTTTGTTTCATAAAGATCATTCATTGTAGGAATTAATTTATTTACATTTTGTGATATATTATTAAAATAATTGTTGCATTCTTCAAATAAATTAATATCATTATCTCTTAAAATTTCAGTGACATTGTCTGTGACATCTTTTATTTGCTTCATATGGGATTTTAATGAATTTCCTAATTCTATACTATAAAATTTTTTATCAATTATTGGCAAACTTTTAATATCACAATATCTTTGTAAATTAATAACTGTACGTTGAATTTGAATAAATTCTATTTCAATTTTTTTTACGATAATTTCCTTTTCCGTAATATTTAATGAAGAATTTAAGGAATCATTAAATATTTTTAGAGAATTTATCACATTAAATGTGGAATTTAATGTTATTTTATAAATTAATTCAAATTTATTAATATTATTATCATTGTTCTTGTTCTCGTTGTATGTGCAGGCAAGATAATTAATTAGATTTTCATATACGTCATAGCCACCATCGACGATATTTTTAATTGTATCGGCAATATCGATGATAAATGTTTGTAACTATTTTTTTTTTTTGAAAAAAGATTATTAGTTATAAATATTAGCAAATAAATTTGTTATTAATTTTTTTTTTAGAAATGTTATATATTACCTCGAATTTTTCAATATTTGATAAATTACTATCATCAAAATTACAGGATACGAAAAAAATTGTAAAATTAGTAGACAATAATAGTAGAAACCAAAATTTACTCATTTTGGATTTATTTTTTTTTCTCACTTAAAAGAAATTATTATATTGTGAATATTTTCGGTTACATATGTATGTATTTATACCCGTAAATAATTTAATTGTATCATCATAATGATATTATTTCATAATTTATATTTGTATATGTGAATTTAAGTTACATACTATCAAATATTTAACACAAATGGTTTTTTATTTGTCCATCTAGTCTGTCTCCCTCGCACTCATAATCGATGTTCAACATATGCAGCTTTTCTTACACAATACATATTGTATATAATGATCTTAAAAGATAATTTTCAAAAATTTAAACAATTATTTGTTGATAAGTGACGTATTGAAAAAAAAATATTAGTTAAATTAAAAAATATTTCAAAGGTGTTTGTATTTACTTAGGGAGAAATCGTCAATCTAAATGATGTCAATTTACACAATTACCTACAATAATCAAATTTTTTAAATATTTTTTAAGTATTACAATGTACTGTTAATATTATATCTATTTACTTATTTTATCTGATAAAGTACGTAAGCAATTTTAAAGGTCTGTCATATTGAGGTCAAATTGACGTAACTATCGAAATATTTATTTTTTTAAAAATTTCCGAATAAAAAAAATAAATATTCATTTATATATAGCTAAACCATAAAAATGAGTATTGGTATAATTATGGTTTTCTTTAGAAAAATTAAACATTTTTTTAACTTAGGTAAATTTTGAGATTTAAGGAACTTAAATAAATTTCTTTCAATTTAAAAAGAATGTTTCGAATTAGAAATGATCGAATTTTCATTTACAAAAATTTTACAATTAACATAATTTCTATTTAACAAAATTCATATTTAATAAAACTTTTAATCACGAAAATTTTTATTTGAACCAGTTTTTATTTAGGGTAAGTCCGGGGGAGTTGGCCATGCGGGAGAGATGGCCAATTTAAGGGGACTTTCTGGTTTAGAATTGACAAAAAAGGAAGGTTTTAAAACTTTTATTGTAAGAACAGTATTAAAGAAATTGTAAAAACTATTTTTGGACATTGTAGCACATTGCGTAGAGAAAATTTAAAAAATATGTTTGAGTGTATTTAGTTCAATTTCATAGATGTAGGTGGCGTCTTCCAAAAGATACCTTTTTTTTGCTACGTTAGTTTCCGGGCAACCTGTAATACATAAATTCAAGTTCCAAACGGGAATCTCTTCATAAGGATTTATTCTGGGGCCTAAACCTCAAAAACGATTTTTTTTAAAGGTTTTTTTATTTTTTATGTACATTTTTCTCAAAAACTCGCAAAGGTCAATTTACCTCCATATAAAAACACAGGGGGTAGAAATATGAGTTTTTAGAGGTTTAGGCCCCAGTTTTTTAAATAAAGAATTGAAAAATTTTTGGGATTTCAAAATCGGTTCGGTAGATTTCGAGAAAAGCTCTGTACCAGTTTGAAAAATGAGTTTTCGAGAAAAACGCGTTCAAAGTTTTCATAACATAGTTCATTGAGTCATGAATATCAAACACCTTTTTATTACAACAGAACTTCGTATCCCGCAGTTTTTAGGGTCGCTGATTACGAATTTGATGTCCGTTTTGGAAAATTCAAAATGGCGGATCAAATATGGCGGACGAAAAAATAAAAATTCAACCGGATTTGCTTAAAACTTGCTACTCGGGGGTTTTTGGGGTCGCTGATTACGAATTTGATGTCCGTTTTTGAATATTCAAAATGGCGGGTCCAATATGGTGGACGAAAAAATAAAAAATCAACCGAATTTGCTTAAAACTTGTTACTCGGGCGTTTTTGGGGTCGCTGATTATGAATTTGATGTCAGTTTTTGAAAATTCAAAATGGCGGATCCAATATGGCGGACTACAAAATAAAAAAATAACTTTTTTAATTAATTAAAACGTTCCTAGAACGTTAATGTTTTGTGCCTATATTCATAACTAGCAATCTCAAAAGGCCACAAGTAACCATTTTCAACTAAATTTAATTAATTTCTTAATCTTTGTCCGCCATATTAGATCCGCCATTTTGTATTTTCAAAAACTGACATCAAATTCGTAATCAGCGACCCCAAAAACCCCCGAGTAACAAGTTTTAAGCAAATCCGGTTGAATTTTTATTTTTTCGTCCGCCATATTGGATCCGCCATTTTGTATTTTCAAAAACTGACATCAAATTCGTAATCAGCGACCCCAAAAACCCTCGAGTAACATGTTTCAAGCTAATATCAATAAAAAAAGAACACCAAATATGTAAATAAGATAACTGTAGATTGTTGTTGAAATACATACCGTCATAAATATTGTTATAACTTTTGTTTTTGTACATATTTTTTAAAAAACGTTTTGGGACAGTAATTCTATGATACTATGGAACATTTTTAAGCAAAAAAAAAATATTCGATTTTTTTGAAATTCTAAACCAGAAAGTCCCCTTAAATATTTTATATAGAATTTGCTGCTAGGTATCGCTTATTAAAGATTAGTTCGCTTTGTTTTGTGGCAAAACACAATTAAAAGAAAAAACTTGACGAAAAATATTGAAAAAGTATGTAAAAATCTGATTTGTTATTTTGACTAGTTCGGAAAAAAGTGATGAGTTTACGTTTCTCACTGGTGTTATGTTATTTTATAGAATAATTTTGAATTTCATTTTTTTTTTTTTGTAAAGTACATGACCCAAGCTTTGTCATAACTTTATATTTATTCAAAAATTTTATTTATTTATTTATATTTTAATTGTGTCAATTTGTCTCCTGACATTAGGAGAGATGGCCATGTTTTTTCGAGGTGAGATGGCCATACTGTTTAAGTTATTGGCTACCTTGAGATTCGTGTGTTTGCTAAAAAAAACATTAATTCTGTGGCAAATGACATTTTTTATAACATATATTACAACAAGACGCTCCAACAAAGATTTTCAAATTTAAATATGATCAAATAAAATAATCACTATTGTCTAATTAAATCTTAAAAACGTTTATAAACAATCATAACACAGGTCTACAAAATAACACTTTTTTATATATATAGCGGAGTGGTTTCCAATGTATTTTTGTGTGCTGAACCCGATTCCGGGTTCCAAAATTGCGTATCACATCAGGATTTTGAATAAAGTAGAGGTAAAGTCTCCAAAAACAGTGTTTTTGAGGGTTTTCATTATTGTTTTATTCCTTAACCAGACGTGCTAGACACTTCTATATATGCTTAAATTAAAGCTTAGATCGCACACTTTAAGAATCATTTACGCAGGATTAAAAATATTTGAAATTTTGAAAAAAAATGAGGGTAAATACTCCAAAAGTCTTTTTAGGTGACTTAAACCTATTTTTTTTCCTTGCGCATATGAGTCTTAAAGTGTAAGATATAAGCTTTAATTTAAGCCTGTATAGAAGTCTCTATCACGTCAGGTTAAGGAGAAAAAAAATACTGAAAACCCTCAAAAACACGGGTTTTGGAGACTTTACCCCCACTTTACTCAAAATCCTGACGTGATACGCAATTTCGTAACCCGGGATCATGTTCAAGACACAAAAATAAATTGGAAAATACTCTGATATCTCAAAAAAATACCTTGTAGACTTGTTGTGTTGGTGAGACAGACAAATAGAGAGCTCTTATCGAAGACTGGATTCAGTGCAATGATTGTCACCTTTGGCTTTATGAAAATTGCACTGAATTTAATGATAAATGTTCGAAATGTGGTCAGAAGAAGAAAAGAAGACATTAATCACTTTAAATTAAGAATTCTGATAAAGCGGAAAGCCAAAGAATGATTTTAAAATATTGGCCATCTCTCCCGTACGCCTATGGCCATCTCCCCCGTACATTCCGGGAGAGATGGCCAAACGTGTTTTTTAAAAAATATTAATTTTAAGATTGTTTACATTTAAAAAATGTATCATTTCTATTATTATTTGTAAGTTAAATGTTCAATGTTTAATTAGCAATAAAAGTTAATACATAAATCACTTTCTTCTTATTTTTACAGGCCTTTAAAAAAACTATGGCCAACTCCCCCAGACTTACCCTAATGAAATTTGTCATTTAACAGAAATTCTACTTAGCTAAATTTTTAAACGAGAGAATTTTTATTTTATCGAAATTCCATTTGAACCTTAACTTGTCCGAAACATTTTAGGAGAAGTTTTAAAATTCATCATTCAAAAATTATCAAGAAAATTGGGATTGATTAATTTTAAAACTGTCGATGAATATTGTTGCGGACAAGTTAAGGTTCGGTCAAATGGAATTTTGGTGAAATAGAAATTTTCTCACTTAAAAATTCAGCTAAGTAGAATTTCTGTTAAATTACAATGCTGTTGAATGAAAATTAGTTGAAATAAACATTTTCTTGAATAAAATTCTTGTTAAGTAACAATTTTCTTAAATAAAAATTCAGTTAATAAAATTATTGTTAAGTGAATATTCAAAGAAATTGAAATTCTATAAAAAAAAATTTTAATAATCCAAATTTTTATTTGTAGGTATACGCGAATTTTTAATATTGATAGAATTTTTAAGATACCGAATTTTCATTTGTCCGAAATTACAAATGACCGAACAAAGAATCGACAGAAAGATTTTGGCGCAATTTTTAAAATTTGTTCGGCCATTTGTAATTTTGGACAAATGAAAATTTGGCGTCTTAACAAATCCATTAATTAAAAATTCAGTGAATTGGAATTTCTGTCATTTAAAAATTCGAATCACATAAAATTTGATTGAATAAGAATTCTCAATTCTGTTAAATTAAAATTCGATTAAATTAAAATTCTTGTAAATAAAAAGTCATGTAAAGAAAATGACTGTAAAATAAAAATTCTGTTAAACAAAAATTCGGTAGTTAAAAATTTTGTTAAGTGAAAATTCGTACAAAAAAAAAAGAAATTCTGACAAATGCTAATTTGAAAAATGAAAATTTGTCTCAAAATAATTATTTCTAAAAAAAATTCATTAAAATAAAAATTCTAATTAATAATTTTTGTGGGAAATTCATATAACTTTGCTAGACATAAAGTTTGTTAAATGGAAATTGTAAGG